CAAGTAAAGAAATACAAACAAACCAGGCGGAGTAAGGGCGTCTAGCTCAAATGGTAGAGCGCTCGCTTAGCATGCGAGAGGTAGAGGGATCGATACCCTCGTCGTCCACTTCTATAATAAAATGTATATTTAAATCTATTTTATTTATGTGTTGTCAGCTTTATGCACCTCTAAATCTATTACTCATATATATTTTCTATTTTATTATCTTCAGATACACAGAGCTATGTGTGGTGTATCTGGTGTTGCCTTCGGGTGTATAGGCAGCTCCACCATTAGTAAATTGCACATATATATAATACTTTTTCTCGTGTTTCAGCTATATCAATAATAAGACAATAACTAAAATTAGGGTTTGTTTATAATCTCATAACCCTTTTATAATTCTCTTTTTAAATAAAATGAAGAGCGCAATCTTTGTTTAAAACATTTTGAGGTGTACATACACCTCAAAGTGCGCCTTTTGTTTGTACATACACCCGAAAAAAACCCACATCACCGAAGATCTCCGCTTTAATCGCCCTATAAATGCATATTAATGCATCTATAAATATATATCTATATTTTTATATAAAAACACATTCATATTAGCATTAAATATATATAACATACACAGTATATACAGATATATGTAGATATATATATATATATATATGTAGATATATATATATATATGTATATATATATTATACAGCGCACGAATTACGATAAAAATAAACACTGTCTCCGCCAAATAATACTCTAAACTTTTCAGCAAGAGAAAGCCCTTTTAATAAATATAATCGCAAACCATAAACAGCACTAACACCAACAAAAATTAAAACATTAAAAAAAATTAACACAATCTCCGGTGTCTGTACACCTCAGTACAGGCCCCAACCTAAACCCTAAACCCTAAACCCTAAACCCTAAACCCTAATTATGATGAGTCAGACACCACTAGTGCCTTTTGCTGCTTCCAGCCGTCTCTCCACCACCTCCCAATTCACCGCGCCCCAGAAACCTGCACATACACCCCAAACGCCTGCTAGCTAGCTGCTAGTTATAGCTGGTAGCTAGCTAGGTGGCTAGCTGTAGCCGGCAGCTAGCTAGTTATAGCTGGTAAGTAGCTGCTAGCTATCTAAAGCTGATAGCTAGCAAGTTAGAGCTGGTAGCTAGCTAGCTAGCTAGCTAGCTGCCGGCAATCCGCTAGCTGAAGCTTCCTCCATCCTGCCAACAGCGGCGGCGGCAAGAGCAGCAGCAGAAGCAGCAGCAGCATAAACAGCAGCAGCATAAGCAGCAGCAGCAGAAGCAGCAGCAGCAGAAGCAGCAGCAGCAGAAGCAAAGATCAGTTCTTACTGTCTACATAGGCAGCTCGGGAGTTTTTGTAGTCTAAATAATACGAGTGTTCCCACACATCTACAGCACAAACCCTAAACCCTAAACCCTGAACCCTAAACCCTAAACCCTAAGGCCTAAAACTCTCTTTAATCCCTAACTACACCGACAGCAGCCTAAAGAGCAGTTCCTGCATCGATCAACCTGCCTGTAGCGGCGCCACCCACCCACCCCTAAACCCTAAACCCTAACCCTAAACCCTCACCAAGGACAAGAAGAGGAGTTAATTCGGGCGAGACAACTGAAGCCCCATCATGAGTCTGTACAATCGTTGCCCCTTCTTCTTCAGCGCAAAGCCAAATCCACCCGCTGCCGAAGTGACCTGCACACAAACCCTAAACCCTAAACCCTAAACCCTAAACCCTAAACCCTAAACCCTAGGACCCGGTGCTAAGCTTCTCTCTCACTTGCGGCGGCAGCTTTGAATTGACGCTTAAAGTCTTCATAACCCCCAAATGAACGCTGCAGTAATGCTAGCGTCTTAGGCAAGGGTTTAGGGTTTGGGGTTTAGGGTTTAGGGTTTGCGGGCCCAGAGCAGCAAAAAAGAAAGAGTGGTTCCAGTGCTGGCCGCATGCATTCAAAGCCCCAGCAGGAAGACCTTCAACCCTCAGAGCCTCTGCAGCAAACAGCAGCAGCAGCAGCAGTAGCAGCAGCAGCAAGTGTGGAGATCCAACTCGAGAAGAGCGAGCAAGGCAATAAACCCTAAACCCTAGTAAACCCCAACCCTAAACCCTAAACCCTAAACCCTAAACCCCCGACACACCATCAAGCGTAACGCCCTGAAGTCGCCCGTCAGTCTCTGCAAAAGCTGCAGAAAACAAAGAGGAAACATAAACCCTAAACCCTAAACCCTAAACCCTAATCCCTGACCCCTAAACCCTAAACCCTAAACCCTAGACATACAGTTCAGAGTCTTGACGTATCCTGCATGATGCCTTGCGTAGTGGTAGCCTAGCTGCTCAAGGCTCATAAAACCCCACAACAGCTGCTGCTGCTGTTGCTGCTGCTGCTGCTGCTGCTGCTGCTGGAGGGGCGGTAGCAGCGGAGGAGGAGGGAGAGAGAAGGGTTTTGCTTCTCGCAGCTGCTGCAGGGCTGCTGCTTCTTCATTTGAAAGATTTGCTGCTGCAGCTAGCAGCAGCAGAGATGCCTTCTCTGCATCTGTCTTTGGTGCAGCAGCAGCAGCAGCAGCAGCACCTGCTGCTGCAGCTGCCGCTGCTGCTGCTGCTCCGGCTTGTCTCCTTGCTGCAGCAGGGCTGGGGGAAGACAGCAACGGTAGACCACCAGCAGCAGCAAAGGTGCTGGCGCTGCTGATGGTGCTGCTGCAGCTGCTGCTGCTGCTGCTCCGGCTGAACCCCCAAGCCCTGTCAACGTTTGCTGCTGCTGTCAGCAGCAGCAGCAGCAGGAGCAGCAGCGCCTCACGTGCAGCAGGCTGCATAGAGGTTGAGTCGAGGTGGTTTAGTGTTGCTGTCCCTAGGGTTTAGGGTTTAGGGTTTAGGGTTTAGGGTGTGTGGTGTGCTGGCCTCCACCTTATGGTTTGTTGTCGCAGGGTCTCTTTTATGTTCAGACTGCATGCGCGGCCTTCTAAACCCTAAACCCTAAACCCTAAACCCTAAACCCTTGACGCCCGGCATCGAGGGTTTAGGGTTTTACAGGGTCCCTCTAATTGCTGCGTTTGTTTTGTGTACAAACAAACAAAAACGAGTTAAAAAAGAAGAAAAAAGTATTGCTGCAGCAGCATTAGCGACAGCAGCATTAGCAGCAGCAGCATTAGCAGCAGCAGCAGCAGCAGCTGCTGCTGCTGCTGCTGCTGCTGCTGCGCCCAGCCAATGAACCAACCGATATGCAAGGGAATAAAACCCGAGACTCTCCTTTGCCTTGCTGCTAGATCGTTAGAGCTCTCTAAACCCTAAACCCTAAACCCTAAACCCTAGAGCATAAACTCTCTCCCTTCCCCGGGTTGCGCGCTGCTGCGGCCGTAGTACCTGCTGCTGCTGCTGCTGCTGCTGCTGCTGCTGGACGGCGCTTCTCTTTGCTCTTTTCTCTATGTCCTCTTCAGTGGGGTGATGCTGCGGTGTATGCAGAGCTCAAGTGCTGACGGTTGTTGCGTTGCTGCTGCTGCTGCTGCAGCTGCTGCCGCCGCTGCTGTTGCTGCTGCAGCAGCAGCAGCAGCAGCAGCAGATTTTTTGCGTCCTGTATCGTAATGCAGCAGCCAATGGATTATCTTGATTTGCTGCTTCTTTGTTCTTTCCTAAACCCCTGCGACAAAAAAACCCTAAACCCTAAACCCTAAACCCTAAACCCTAATTCGTCTGGGGGCCCTCTTGACCTATACAACTCCTCGTAGCTGGCAGCCCTCGTATACTTTAATAAAACTTTATTATTTTTTATCAGCAGCTTCGCTTGCTGCTGCTGCTGCTGCTGCAGTTTGTCTCTCCGGCGGATGCCCTCTCCCTTCTTCTTGCTTCTGCGGCCCGCAGCAGCAGCAGCAGCAGCAACAGCAGCAACAGCAGCAGCAGCAGCAACAACAACAACAACGCCAGAAGCAGCAGCTGCGGAGTCTCTGGCTTTTGTCTATTGCCGTCAATGGCCTACCTGAGCTTTTCTTTCTCTTGCTGTACCCTCAGCAGCAGCAGCAACAGCAGCAGCAGCAGCAGCGACAGCAGCAGCAGCAGCAGCAGCAGCAACAACTGCAACAACAGCAGCGATAGGAGCAGCAGGAACGGCAGCGGGGGCAGCGGGATCGGCAACCCTCTGTTTTTCTTTTTGCAGTGTAACAGCAGCAGCAGCAGCAAGAGGAGGAGCAGCGGCAACAGCAGCAGCAGCAGCTGCTGCTGCTGCGGATGACTTTGTGTATTTCGCCGTGCATGCAAATCGCATGAGGCGAGAGTTTGTATAATCCTTTTATCTTGCAGCAGCAACAGCAGCAACAGCAACACCAGCAGCAACAGCAGCAAAAGCAGCAAAAGTATCAGCAGCAGCAGCAGCAACAGCACCATTACCAACCCCAGCAAGAGCAGCATAACGAGCATAAAGAGCAGCATAACGAGCATAACGAGCATCAGCAGCATCAGCATCAACAGCAGCAGGAGGAGGCGGAGGAGGAGGAGCAGCAGCAGCAGCAACGATGAGGATACGCTGGCTGTTACCTCGCCATGCGTATATATTGCGAGGCGAAGATTTTGCTGTTGTTGTTGCATTCACAAACCTATTAATATATGTATTTGTCTGCTCAAACGCTTTAGATAGGATGAAGGAGGAGAGCAGCGCAGCAACAGCAGCACTAGTATCATCCTCTTTGATGTATATATTATCTTTATTATGTTTTGTTGTCATTAGGATGTTTCGGACAAGCAAATATAATATAGAGAGTTATATACTGCCTCTTCTTCTTATATTTAACCTTGCATGCAGCACTTGTTTAGAACTTGCTAGCGATGCTGTAGGAGTGCTTGCAGGTGTTCTTGCTGCATTTTACTTTATATTAACAGGATATCCGTATGCTTCTTTATTATTATTTGCGGTTGTCGGCGTATTAATAGGGCTTATTATTAGATTAGCTATATGCTCTGCTGCTGCTGTTGCTGCATGCAATACACAAGACATGCTAGAAATAGCACTCCTTGCGCCTCAGCTTCTCTTCGGCTCAGCACTGTACTTCTCTATATATCATTTGGGTGTATTGATGCTCAGAGCTAAGAAGAACCCTGTTAAGAACATTGAAGTGTTTTCAGATCTTGAGGCGCTAGATAAACTTGTCTTCTGTCCTCTCCTCGGCATTGCTGCGCCTCACGATGGGGTTTCCTTTGCTTCTGCTGCTGCACCTCCTCCTCCTGCTGCTGCTGCTTCCGGCTCGGCAGCAGCTCCTGCTGCTGCTGCTGCTGCAGCTGCAGCAGCTGCTGCTGCTGCTGTTGCGCAACAGCAGCAGCAGCAGCAGCAAAATGATGCACCGGGGCGCTACACTCAGCTGCAGACGGAGAGGTCTGTGCAGCTTTTCGGAAGTCTAGCAGCAGCAGCAGCAACACCTGCTGCTGCTGCTGCTGCTGCTGCTGCTTTACCTGCTCCTCCGGCTTCTTCTTCTCCTGCTCCTGCAGGGGCAGCAGCAGCAGCACCAGCAGACAATGCTGTTGGTGCACTGGTAGCGCATGCACCGCAGCAGCCGCCTGAAGCGCCCTCAGCAGCTGCAGCAGCAGCAGCAGCAGCAGCTGCTGCTGCTGCTGCTGCTGCGACATCTGGGGAGAAGATGAAGGGATCTCCTCCTTCTGTAGCCAGCAGCTTCAGCAACAGCAGCAGCAGCAGCCGCAGAGACAGAGAGCAGCCGTCTGTACGGCCAGCAGCAGCTGCTGCTCTTCCTTCGCATCGGGGCTCTCAGGGAAGCATAGCAAGTGCTGTCTCTCCCAGCAGCAGCGACGCTGTACAGCAGCAGCAGCAGCAGCAGCAGCAGCAGCAGCAGCGAGGTTCACTAGCTAGCGCCTTTGGAAGCTTCGCAACGTCGTCATATACTCCTGTTGCCTCGCCCAGACACAAACCGCAGCTGCTGCTGCAACAGCTGCAGCAGCAGCAGCAGCAACAGCAGCAGCTCCAGCAACAACGCAGCCAGCAGCAGCAGCAACAGCAGCAGCAACAACAACAGCAGCAGCAACAACAACAGGAGCCGCAAGAGCAACAGCAGCAGCTGCAGAAGCAGCAGCAACAGCAGCAGCAGGAGCAGCAACCGCAGCAGGAGCAACAGCAGCAACAGCAACAGCAGCAACAGGAGCAACAGCAACAGAAGATACAAACTGCTTCTGAGCCCTACCACGGTGCCTCCCCGCCGTTCTTCCTCTACAG